AAACATAGAAAGTGAGGGTTTAAATTTGAGGATTTTTTGATTAAAAAACAAAAACACGCGATCTATATTTCAGTGCTTGAGTGGGCATTAAAAAGTTAAGGCGCCCAAAAGTAGAGGCAAGCGCGACGCTTCCAAGTTCCAACTCAAGTGCTCTTTAAACCCAAAAATAATGGTGAAAAACATTGCAGAACCGTCACGCTTGGGGTCAAGCGCAACGATTAGAAATCGTTACCACTGAACCGTTGTCATAGAGTAAATTCGTGGTAGTGGGGCGATGATAAGGAGGTGGATTTTTTTAACTAGGGTTTAAATCGTTATTTTTGCGGTTAGAGGATGATTAGGATTTGTGGGTTTGTAAAATTCGGTTTTGGGTTTTAGTTGGGGCTTCGGGTTTGGTTATGGGATTTGTTAATAGAAATAGGTTAACTTCAGTCCAATTATGATTAGGAGTCCCATCAATGAAGGTAATGGACCCCTTCATTTTTAAGGAGACCCAATAACGACGGTAGTAGGATCAAATCAACGAAGGGATTAGAAAACCGTTATCCCATATCACAATATTTCTCTATTATTTGTAATCACTCGACGAAGGGTTTAAAACCCGTCGTTATTATATGCACATTAATGACGGGCAACTGTTCCCTTCACTAATTTTGGTCGTTAAATAGCAGATTTCTTGTAGTGTCTCTTATAGAAAATAACTTAACCATTTTTTCATTAACCATTCAAGAATGAAGAGAGTTCATCTATATAGAGAGAAAGATATCATGACATCAATGACTCATCTTATGAGTAATGCCATGAGTCATTAAATGCAATGATTCATCTCATGAGTCATGCAATGACTCATCTTATGAGTCATGCAATGAGTCATGAAAAATCAAAACTGTGTGCTTAAAACCATGTTCCCAAACCATACCACTTAATGACTCATCCTATAACTCATTAATCATGGTATAATATGGTATTTCATAACAATATGATATTTAGTATTTTTCTAATCTTTAACTAAGAAGTCATCATATGACCAAAAAGTCAACTGGTTGACTAAAAGTTAACTTTATGGAAAAAAATTCTAAAATTTATTTCTTAAGCACATAGTATTCTGATTTTATCGATACATATAACCGTTTATGTGTATCCGATAAAATTATATATGTGTATCAATCATACGCATTACTCTATAATTTTGTATTTCATAGGATTTAAGTACGCACTTTGTGTGACTCTAGGGCCCAAGTTAAGGCTCGACAGTGGATCATATCCACAAGTACAACAGAGATGCTAGCTACATATGAAGACTATCCGGGTATAAGTTGTGATAAAGGTCTGAAAGATGCTTACCTAATTTTATCAGTACTAGTCAGTGATAAATATCATACAGTCTGGTCTCTTCGTCAAACCATGTCAAACTATCGAGTCGAGAGTATGGTAAACTGTCAAACCCTAATAGCTTGATTAGTATTTGTTGATATTAAACTCATAACCTATAAGATCAAACTGACACTTAGCTTATCTTATTTACTTCAGCTAATGATTTTCAGGCTATAGTTATATCAAACAATTTTATGATATCAACCCCCTATGCTGGGAGAGACGAATTTTATTTTGACATATCAATATCTACTTATATCTCGGGATGCGCCCAACAAGAACCGTTATGCACAACTCAATGAAAATTGTGGTTAGGTAAAATTCTAAGTATAACTATACTGACATATAAGATATTGCACCATGTCTCAGGTCAAGTAACTGCTTTGTACTATATCACTTGAGAACTTCTATTTGACAGTTAAGTATATTACCAACAAGATGTTCTCGGTGAGTCGTCAGTCAACTCATTCACTAATAAGTCACATGTATACTATATCTTGATGTCTCAACATTAATTATCTAAGAGATGGATCATCGTCCTTCAAAAGGACAAATAGAGTATACATTAGTCTTTACCAAAGTGATGATGTCTTATCTCAACACTTCATCGACTAAGAACATTTTAGAATATACGTTAGCGACTAATCAGATCTCTTCTTCATTACGATTAATATCAAAATTCTGATAGTCTAGTATCATTCTAAGTATTTTATATATATGTAAAAAATACCAGAGAAATATTGACTAAAATAGCATACTATTATTTTAAACAAGGATGTTATATTCATATAGGTCATGTTATGATATATAATTATTGCTTGCATGGCACCAATATCTAACACAAAGTGCAACTCAGTGCCAAGCAACGGACAAGTGTGCTCCTGCATGCTATGCCCCAATCAACTTGCGACCAAAGACCAACAGGGACGATAACTCAACCGACTTGTCGAGTCGACATCACTCCATGTCGACTAGAAATGCGGTACTTGTCGCCCCCTTTTGTCGAAGATGACTCGCCACGAGTCCACCCGACCACTTGCCAGACGCCTTGCGACGTCGACTCGAAAGATGTTACTTCTCGGCGAAGTTAAAGAACAACTTCTGTCTCGAGCCTATCCTCTCTAGCAACGTGTTAACATCGCATTTAATGCATGTCAAGCGAATCATGCCTCTAGCCCTGATAGCCTTCATGACACATCAGACCACATGGGCACTACCATGCCGCCAATCACTTCTCATTTAATGTCGAAGTGATCCATCCCCCACTCGCCAGTCAACACCCGTAAAGCAGGTGTTGATGCATCCGCCAACCCACACTTCAACACTGTCAACCTGAGCTCGGCCCGAAGTGTCCGATCTACCCTTATACCTTTTGTATAAATAGAGGTACTATTCTACCTTATAAGGGGGGATCTATCCGAATTTTGATCTAGATCTTGATTTACAAATCTAATCCTATAGCAATCACACTGCACATAAGAACTCTCCCTATTCTTATTTTTACCACGCTCAAGTTCGTCATCTAACTTGATCGTCGGAGATACAATAGGGGAACCAAACCCCATCCTCTCACGAGCTTCTACTTGTGCAGATTCATATATTTTGTTCAAAGAACCAGACATAAAGTCGGAGAAGAAAGTGGTCCCTCATCAATCCCCAACAAACTCATAAAAACACGGATACATATTGACTATGTGATCACTAGTACATCGACATAACTTTTTCTATCATGGATTTAATTTCACTAAATGTATTTTGAACAATTAAATTTAAAATATGACACATACATCTAATATGAAAAATATCACCATGACCTCACAATAGCAAAGATGATTTGATATGATCTATAGCTACATTATTATTACTTACATTATTTAGTAAAAGAGAAAATATTTTTTATAAAATATATAATTTTATAAATTTTTCTATTATTAAATTTTCAATATTAATATCACCATGTGAATCTTCAAATGCAACAAAAGAAATTATTCTTTTAATTAACGATTATCATTAATCTAGTGTGTTGTGATACATAAATAACTAGTTTGTACTCTAGATATCCAAATATCATAAGTTAAAAAAACTACAGTTTAAATTTTGAAAATAAGAAATTATTTTTGCTTGTTCCTTGTGATAATATTTCAAAATATCACGTTAACAAGATTAACAAGAAATTTTTTTAAATACGGGATAAAAACCATCTGTAATCATATCTTCAAATTCATCATATTCTACTAATTTAAAAGGAAGTTTTTTAAAAATAATAAACCTAATGACGCATTTCTTAGCTTTAATTACGTCATAGTTCCAACTGCCAAGACTACCGAAGGATGATGATTGGGAGAGTAAAGTTTGACGGATATCTCCTTGAGGCATTGCCTAAACTCTGTTGTGCTTTTCTAAATGGCGTTTGAGGTCGTTGGTGCCGCGTTTATGATGAACTTAGAAAATATGGCCGCACAACGCACACTTAGCATTTTGGGTGATAAGTCTATCGTGTTGATCCTTTGTGACTTCTATCTTCTCGAAGAAGTTCCACACATCGGATGTCGCCCTTTTAAGAGCTCTAGGTGTAGGATCATCGCCACCGGATTCATGATCAACATCGGTAGTAGGAGTAACTTAGCGCTTGTAGTTGTAGTAAGAGTAGTATGACTCATTTCAACATCGGGAGTTACGATTTGCCCTTCATAATCGGAGGAAAAAGCCATTTGATTGAAGAATTAGATAGTAAAAGCGAGAATAAGTAAGTATTAGAGAGCATTAGAAAGAAGTAGATGAGTTTTGATGAGAAAAATAAATAAAAACCGATACAGAGGCAGTCCCCTAGCAAAACGATCAAAATACCCTCAAAATTTGGCCGTTTTGATCATTTTTGTGGGTATTTTAGTCAAAAGCTAAAAAATAATCGTTATGGAAGTTCGGACCGGGCCGGGGCCGGTCTACCCGGACAATGGTTACATTCGTGACTGTTGTGGCCGGCCTGATTAGCTCGGCCAAACGATCACGAATGTGCTTGTTGAACCACCGAGTCGGGCCCCTGGGCCTGCGCCCGGGCCGGGCTTGGGACCAGCTGGGTCCGGTCCGAACACCGGGTCGGGCCCGGGCCTTTGACCCAAATGGACACCCCTAACTACAAGGGGTCTTCCACAATAGGGAGATAACACAAAGGATCTAGTCACACTTGACTCTCTTTAATTAGTCAAAGTACTTGATTTCTTTGTTACTATTTGCAAAAGATGTTCAATTTTGGCACGGATGCTGCTAACACTTTTCAGAGGCGAAATAGGGTAGGATTTATTATACTTTTCTTTACAAAGTCTCTTCAGAACAAATTCTAACTCGTATCTATCTTATGCATACGGTTCAGATATATCCGAACCTATCCGCATCCTTATCCGAACGGTTGCGGATATGATAGACTAATTTTGAAACCGGGCGGATACGGTAACAGATACAGATTCGGTAACGGATATGAGGGTTACGGATACGGATATCCGCAATATAATACCGATTCGGGTGTTGGGTTCAGGCAACTTCAACCCGTATTAACCGACCCGACCGAACTTCATTCATAAATGTCCGCTCCCGTACGCATTACCCGACTCCGACTGTATAAAATGAAATCCCTCATTCAACTCCTAAACCCTAATCTCCAACCTCACCACTCGCCAGGCTGTAGCCGCCGACAATCCAACTCTCTCCATCTCCTTGCCCTATCCAGTCTCCACCCCTCACCCCCTCGTCGTTGTCGCTGAGCTCGAGGCCGCTGACGCTGAGATCCCCAACAAATAGAGGTGAATCCCTGTCCAGCTCGAGGCCGTCGCTCGCCGTCGTCGTCGTCGTCGTCGCTGAGCTCGAGGCCGCTGACGCTGATGTCCCCAACAAATAGAGGTGAATCCATGTCCAGCTCGAGGCCGTCGCTCGTCGTTGTCGTCGCTGAGCTCGAGGCCGCTGACGCTGAGATATCGTCGCGTCTCATGATTCGAGCAGCTTTTGACCCCTGAATCCTCAGGTATGAACTTCTCCAGATGTCGGCGAAGGCAAGGTGAGCTTGTCTCTTTGATTGGGTTGTTTTGTGATTTTTGAGAATAAATTTGAGATTTTGTTGATTTCTTTAGATTTTAGTGATTGAAATCTGTTGAAAGATGAGAGCTTTGGGCTTAGCTCCTGGTAATTTGTCTTTGGATTAGGTTCTGATCGGAGTTTGTTTGGGTTGAAAAGCCTCACAATTTATTCTTAGTAACAGAATCTTTATATGGTGGGAAAAAATTGGACGTGTAGGATTGACATACAAGATTTAGGATTTTTTTGTTTAGTTTTTCCTTTGTTAGCTTAGCTACTACTTGCTTCAAATGTTGATGTAGCTTTTACTGTATAACTAATGTTCTTCATTTCCAGTATGATATTTATTGAGATATAAGCAAGTTGGTTAATTGTAGCATGTACATAGGATGTAAGCTCTACATTAGATTAGATTACTAAAGTTTTTGACATTTTTAATTTTTGTTCTGTATATTGAAAGGTTTATTAATGCTTGTGCATTGCAATGAGCAGATCAAGAAGGCTCTTAGAGGCGTAAAAGTTGAAGACACTCATAGAGGAAGCGTACAAAGGAAATATCGAGTTTCAGGACTGACATCTCTTCCTACAAGAGAGCTGATGTAAGAAACTTAAATCGTTGATCTTGTTAATGCATATTCAAGAATATGGATATGTCCTGATTGCTTATGGTTCTTAAAATTTTCGCTGGACAGTTTCCCAGTTGATGAACAAAACAACATGAAATCTGTGGTTGAATACTTCAAAGAAATGTATGGCTTTACAATTTAATAACCTCACCTGCCTTGCCTTCAAGTAGGAAATCAGAAGAAGGCAAATTATCTACTAATGGAGGTGAGGTTAATAAAATTAATCTTTATTTAACATAACAATTTTGGAGGTTTTATAGTTCTTTAAGTATCAATTACAGGCATGTAAAATAGTTGAAGGGCAGAGATGCACAAAGAGATTGAATGAAAAGCAAATTACTTCCCTGCTAAAAGTTATCTGCCAGAGGCCCAGAGAATAGGAGATGAATATACTGCATGTTTGTATTTCTTACCATCCATATCTCTACGCTTTTAATTGATTAATTCTATGTGAAGTTTCTTATTAAAAAAATTCTTAGGAGCTGTGGAACATCCAAATTCTTGCTACTTTGTTTAGCTACCATCTAGGCTGTAGGGCATCATCCAGTTGTAGCACACAACTACTTAGATTTAAGCCTTACTCTCAACTAGTGCTCATTAAGAGTGATTGGTTGGCTTCTAATAGTAATAGATTTGTGCTCAATTTCAGTAATTCTAATTATATGTGAATTAAGGAGAAGCCTACAACCACATACATTTACCTATTTGGTTGTAATTCTAATTATATGTGAATATCCGTTTGTATCCGTGATTATATCCGATCAGATTCTCAAATATCCGATCCGTATCCGTTTCCGATAAGTGCGGATATGGTTAAGGTTTTTTCTTACCGAGAATGATCTGTATCCGTTTATAAAAAGCGGATATGGAAATGGTAAGTGTGATATCCGAGCCGTATCCGCTTCGATAACACCCCTAGCCCCTGGGCTTTCTTCCTTTTGTAAATAAACTCAAGTTTTCATTCTGTGTAACCCATTTAAACCTAAACTTCGAAGTAGAAGCTATGTTACTGTTACACAAACCATGATGCACAAGTTTAATGAAATCACAAACAATTTTAACACAACAGAGCACCACTTCATTTCTCACATTTTACGACCTCATCTGAAACTAGAAGCAATAACCATTTCCAACCAAAATGAATGAAAAAATAAGGCAGCTGGAGGGAAATAGCTGAGTGTACCCAAAAAAAATTTTGAAGTCAGCGTTTCGTGCCAATTGGTTAAGAAAGAATATTTGAGAAAATAAGAAGATGTAGGGGCTGCTCAGAAAATTGGTGATAACACCACGTCCACAGGGTCGATGGAGCAACTTTATAACTTTCTATGGAATATTTTGATGTGCAAAGGTTGTCTATTGAGATTCCAGAAAGTTACTAAATGAATTCCATCAACCATGCGCAGTGTTTTCTGAAATCTCAAGCTTCGCAGATCAAAACATTACACATGGTTGATGGAATTCATTTAGTAACTTTCTGGAATCTCAATAGACAACATTTGCACATCGGAATATTGCAGATGCTTGACGGAGCTAATTAAATAACTTTCTGAAATCTTAATAACCTTTGCATGATTAGTCAGTCACCGAAAAGATAAAGAAAATTAAACACAAACAGCAAAATACTTCTTAAGGCCAGATAACCAGTCTAAAAACTTGTTGTATTGATGAAATTAGTTGCTAATGTCTAAAAAGGAATAATAGCAATCAGCATGTCATAGGTCAATCTACTCAATGGTCATTTGATGCATGTTTTCTGGTGATCATCATCACTTATATATATATATATGGTTTATTTTGTAGAGAAGGAAACAACAATTAGTAGTGGAGGGATGTGAGAGATAAACGGCTGGATTCTGATCTGTAGGTATATATCTAAATTTTTGAACAAATTCCTTCGACAGTTCGTTTATTTACTGTTTCTGTTTTTCCCCTTTTTGCAGGACCAAGTGTTACAGTGGCTCACATCTTCTTCTTGTATATAACGTTTGCTGAGGATCTTTTGTACATTCTTAAACAAATCTATCATTAGACTTGTACCAAGATATGATGAGAAATTAATAGGTGGATCCTGATCAAGTGGTATGTATTTGAATTTTAAAACAAATTTGTTCAACAGCTCTTCTGTTTATTTTTTCTGTTTTTTCCCTTTTGCAGGATGAAAGACTTAAGAGGCTCCTTCTTCTATTCGGTGTTTTTCTGAAGTTCTTCTGTGTCTTCCTATACAAATATGTCGATTGATCCTGAGACATGCTGAATGGTGTAGATTGACATGTGACATGCTGATTGCTCCATCGACACCATTCAGCGTGTCACAGGTCAATCTACACCATTCAGCATGTCTCAGGATCAATCAAGCAACATATTTGTATAGGAAGACACAGAAGAACTTCAGGAAAACACCGAATAGAAGAAGAAGGAGCCTCTTAAGTCTTTCATCCTGCAAAAGGGAAAAACAGAAAAAATAAACAGAAGAGCTGTTGAACAAATATGTTTTAAAATTCAAATACATACCACTTGATCAGGATCCACCTATTAATTTCTCAGCATATCTTGGTACCAGTCTAATGACAGATTTGTTTAAGAAGGTACAAAAGATCCTCATCAAATGTTATATACAAGAAGAAGATGTGAGCCACTGTAACACTTAGTCCTACAAAAGGGGGAAAACAGAAATAGTAAATAAACGAACTGTTGAAGGAATTTGTTCAAAAATTAGATTTATACCCACAGATCAGAATCCAACCGTTGATCTCTCACATCCCTCCACTACTAATTGTTTTTTCCTTCTCTACAAAATAAACCATATATATATAAGTGATGATGATCACCAGAAAACATGCATCAAATGACCATTGAAGAGTAGATACAGAACATTCAATAAATGCTAGACATGGCACTCGCGCTCCTAACATTTGAAATAGATTATATATACTACAACTTTTGTCAAAATTAATATCATCTGCAATTAAAACGAAAACGTGCATCAAATGACCATTAAAGAGTAGATACATAACATTCAATAAATGCTAGACATGACACTCGCGCTCCTAACATTTGAAATAGATTATATATACTACAACTTTGTCAAAATTAATATCATCTGCAATTAAAACAAATAGAATGGAAACTGAATTTTCCCTCTAAAACTTCCAAAATCATCTTTATCAATTATGATGCCTGACATCTCTTCCATACTGTCAATCCCATCTGTTATAATTATTCCTCTCCCTCCATCCCTCCCTCCCTCTAAGGGGCTGTTTGTTTGCCTAAAAAAGGAGGGAAATCAAAGAAAAGGAAACATATTTCTAAGAAAAATAGGTTTTGGGATTGTTTGGTTGGCTAAAAAAAGAAGGAAATCAAAGAAATGGAGATGAGATGAGATGTGTTGTCACCTTATTATAGGATGATGTGAGTGATTTTTTAATAAAACTTGTTTTGATATTGTTTGGTTGGCGGAAAAAATAAGGAAATGAATTATAAGAAACATATTTCTTGTAATAGGTTGTTTTCTTTTGTTTGGTTATTTCTTAAAAATAAGAAAATAGATGAGATGAGTTGTCATTATATTATTGGATGATGTGACCCACACTTAAGGAAATTATTTTCCTAGTTTTTTGGGAGGAAAACAAAGAAATAAAATGTTAATGAGATGAGATGAGTTATCACAATCTTATTGGATGATGTGAGTGACTTTTAAATATGAGATGAGTTGAGTGATGTTGTGGATGAAAATAATATTTTATTAGATGTGGTGGATGTGATGGATGAGTTGTTGGATGAAAATAATATTTTATTAGATGTGGTGGATGAGTTGTTGGATAAAAATAATATTTTATTAGATGTTGTGGGTGAGTTTTAAGGATGGAAATGTGTGAAATTGTACTTTTTAAGTTTTTTTGGTTTTCATTTCTATTTTTTGGTTTTTTAGGAAATAACCAAACAGGCCCTAAGCTGAAAAGCCACTCCTTCACCCAAAAAAAAATCCTCTTTAATAACTTACCTTCAGTGAGCATTTTCAAAAGAATTTCAGCTCTGCTACAGGTACAAACAAAAAATATCGAGATTATTCAATTTCCTACAGGTTCCTCTTAATGGTTTGGAGGTAGGAACCAGCATTGAAGCTTACTACCCTTATGTTTAAAAGTACATTTCATGACTTAAACTTTGATTCTGTAATTAAGTGCTAGAATGAATCTAACAAATGTGATTTTCTTTCTCATGTATGCGTACATTTGTTAGTGTGTTGACTCAATGGCAGCAGCAACATATCAATCTATAGCCTAAGTAATCAACAATATTATAACAATATTCAATTCTCAACCCACAAATCAATGCAAACTCGGAAAGGTGAGAAACCTGCTGCTTCTTTCATTTCCTTTTTTTTCTTTAACATATAAGTTTCACCTGCTCTTAACTTAAGTTTGATTTATTCTTTTTAGCTAAAGGGTGCTTTTGAGATGTAGCAGAATTGATGAAGAAAGGCAAGTTCCCTAACATAATTCCTTCATTTTTGAACATTGTTTGCTATATACTGAATGCTTTCTCGTTACCTTCCTAGGTTGTTAAGCATTTTGAATTCGTTTCTGTTAAAACCAGGGATCTATTCCTTTCACTTTTAAGGAGCTACATGGGTCAAAGTCCATAGCTATTCTATTGAAGGATACTTATTGTAAGAAGGATCTGTGCTAATTGAAAAGAAATCAAATAGAAGCTACTCTAAAACCAGCAACTTAACCAAGGGAGAATTAATTCCCTACAAATTTAAAACTACGCCTGCTGCAAAGAACTCGCACCTAGGCTACCAACATAAAAGAACAGCAAACAAGTGATGCACATACATGTTAAGATTGAGAGACCAATGATCGCCAGCATAGTTACTGTGGCATTAAGACTGAAATGAGACCAATGACCAATAGTAAGTTGCCAACCAAAACATCAGGTGAAAAGAAATTCCTGAACAAAATTGAATGACTTAAATTGTTTTTTTTTACCCAAGCCATCTTCCATTACCTCCAAACCCTAAGCTACCTGCTAGTCGAATATCATCGGAGGAACAAGCAATGCCACACACACTAATTCACAGAAAACAGAGGTTATACATAAATGCGAAGTTATATACACAGATTGTAACTCATCCTACAATGAAGTATCTTATATGTCTAACTTCTTCCTTGTGCAACAAGGTGTAAAATTAAACTTCACATTTGCAAAATAATGGAACACATCTGTGGTGTGTACATATATACGTTTGTTTCCTCATTCAGAAAGTGATATAACTACAATGACTAGAATTTTTAAGGAAGGGACAATGGTTAGATGCATTTCCTCATTCAGAAAGTGATATAACTACAATGACTAGAATTTTTAAGGAAGGGACAATGGTTAGATGCAATAAATGGTAAAGATTATGTTCTCACAGTGATGACTAGAATTTTTAAGGAAGGGACAATGGTTAGATGCAATAAATGGTAAAGATTATGTTCTCACAGTGAAATGTATTGGAACAGATTCTTTTTTAGCATTTTATCATCTCTCAACAAAAGATCTCAAAGCCCTATTCATCCGCCTTGAAACCCCTGCAAACCCTTGTGCCAAAAAAATCTTTAAACACCCTCAAATTCCCAGCAAACACTAATGCCATAAACTCTAAATATCCTTTTCTTCCAACCCAAATCCCATCCGAACCCTAATGCTAAAAACTCTAAACACTCTCATTCTTCCACTTCAAAACCCATCTAAAACCCTATTGTCAGAAAATATTAAAACCCTCTTCTGCTACCACGTAACCCAACAAAACCCTAATGCCAAAAAAAAATCAAAATTCTTTTCTTGCAAATTAAAACCCATCTAAACTCTGATGCCAAAAAATCTTACAACCCTCTTCTTCTTCCACATCAAAAACTCATCCAACCCCTAATTTGATCGAGAACGACAAACAAGAAAAGTAAAGAAACCTTACTATGGTCAAATTAGGCTTGGTGCTGAGTCTTTTGCCTATTGTCAGTGAATTGATTCCCGCAGCCACATGACATTCTTCTTCCAGGATACAAAGCGAGAATGTGGCTCTTCAGAGCATCAAGAAGAAGATAATGCTTTTCTGGGCATTTTTTATTAAAACAAGGGTCGCATAATATCGCTTCATCATCGGAGAAAAGAGGCGGCGGAGAATTACCATCCACGACCTTATCCTCCTCATACTCCTCAGTCAGAATGAAGAAGTTCTTCAGCTTGAACGATTTGTATTCGAAAATATCCATCGATGAAGGGAATTGAGGGTTAGGGCTTTGGTTTTTTTTCCTTTTTCCTTTCTTTTGGCAAGGAGGAATCTTTGTTCGACTCTTGAAGAAAAAGATGGCTATTTGGATTTGCGAGACTGAGCCTGGACTCGTTATATAATTCAGCTTGAAAGATTTGTCTTCGAAAATATCCATCGATGAAGGGGATTGGGGATTAGGGCTTTGGGTTTTTTTCTTTTTTTTCCTTTCTTTTGGCGAGGAAGAATCTTTGTTCGATCCTTGAAGAAGAAGATGGCGGTTTGGATTTGTGACGCTGAGCCTGGACTCGTTATTATACTTCTTCATTCTGACCGAGGAGGAGTATGAGGAGGATGAGGTCGTGGATGATAATTCTCGTCCGCCTCTTTTCTCGCGATGATGGAGCAATATTATGCGACCCTTGTTTCAACAAAAAAATACCCAAAAAAGCATTATCTTCTTCCTAATAGTCTGAAGAGTCACATTCTCGCTTTGTATCCTGTAAGAAGAATGTCATGCGGCTGCGGGAATCAATTCATTGACAATAGACGGAAGACTCGGCACCAAGCCCAATTTGATCATAGTAAGGTTTCTTTACTTTTCTTGCCCGTCGTTCTAGATCAAATTAGTGCTTCGATGGGTTTTTGATGTGGAAGAAGAAGAGGTTTGTAAGATTTTTTGGCATCAGGGATTAGATGAGTTTTAATTTGCAAGAAAAAGCTTTTATGGTTTTTTTTGCATTAGGGTTTTTCGATGGGTTTCGTGGTAGCAGAAGAGGGTTTTAAGATTTTCTAACGTTAGGGTTTTAGATGTGTTTTGAATTGGAAGAATGAGGGTGTTTAGAGTTTCTGGCATTAGGGTTCGGATACGATTTGAGTTGGAAGAAGAGGATATTTAGAGTTCTAGCATTAGTGTTCGCTGGGAATTTGAGTGTTTAAAGATTTTTTGACACAAGGGTCTGCAGGGGTTTTGAGGCGGATAAATAGGGCTTTGAGATCTTTTGTTGGGAGATGATAAAATGCCAAAAAGGAATCTATTCCAATACATTCACTGTGAATAGGGCTGGTAAACGACCGAATCTGAGCGAATATCTTGCTATTCGAGCTCGAATTCAGCCCTAATCCACATGTTCGAATTTGTGTTCATATTCGGCTCAGAGACTTAATATTATTCGAATTCGATTTAAGAACTTATATTAGCATTCAGCAAGTACTCGCGAATATTCGTTTAGAAACTAATTTCAGTCAAAATAAAAAAATGAAAATTTTTATTTAAGCTTTATATTACATGGATGGTAGATTGGGGTGGTTGAGGACACGCCGGAGGGGGATGAGAGCTTCAAGACTCGAGAGGAAGAGAGCATCGACGGAGAAGGAGACTGTCGACGGCCGAATAGACTATCGAAGACAAGTGAGGGGCGGATCTTGGAGAGAAGACTCGGAGACAAGTGGTCGAGCGGCTGAGCGAAGGTGGCGGATCTCGAAGACGAGTGAGGGACGAGCGGAGGGGCGGATCTTGGAGAGAAGAGTCGGAGAAAAGTGGCCGAGAGGCTGAGCGAAGGCGGCGGATCTCGAAGACGATCGTCGGAGTGGTTGAGCGGCTGAGCGGATCTCAAAGATGTGAGGAGAGAGCCTAACCCTAGAGTCGGGGTTTGGAATGAAGGGTGATGGCCAAGAAAAAGAAAATGGAAAACCCTTGCCCTAAACTAGAATCCCCTCTTGAGTATTTATATAGGTTACATTTATATATAAAAATTTAGATAAGTAGTATTTGGAAAAAAGTTTAATTATAGAACTCAGATGTAAAAGGATATAAAAAGTTATCGAATAGTTAATAATCAATCGAATCAAACATACATTTGGTTAAATTCTATTTATTTTATAAATCGAATATCTAAAAAATGTTTATTTATTACTAAATGAACTATCGAATCGAACTTGATCGAATATCTGGTCGAATAATAAACTAATTGTTTATTAAGTATATTCGGTTCGCTTCCATCCCTAACTGTGAGAACATAATCTTTACCATTTATTGCATCTAACCATTGTCCCTTCCTTAAAAATTCTAGTCATTACTGTGAGAACATAATCTTTACCATTTATTGCATCTAACCATTGTCCCTTCCTTAAAAATTCTAGTCATTGTAGTTATATCACTTTCTGAATGAGGAAATGCATCTAACCATTGTCCCTTCCTTAAAAATTCTAGTCATTGTAGTTATATCACTTTCTGAATGAGGAAATAAACGTATATATGTACACTTTAGACCTGTTCCATTATTTTGCAAATGTAAGTTTAATTTTACACTTTGTTGCACAAAGAAGAAGTTAGACATATAAGATACTTCACTGTAGGATGAGCTACAATCTGTGTATATAACTTCACATTTATGTATTGTCTCAGAAATGTATTTTTTTGGAAACTGCTTTGAACATTTTTTATGTTTCATACATGGTGAATATGGAGCCATACTCTCACATGATCCATGCATCATATATTGACCAACTGCTGCATACCCAATTGAATCTTTTTTCTCATCCGGGACTCAGCACTAATGATCTTATTAATCAATACGGGTGTCGAATATTTGTTACTCTCATGAAGCCATAGCAAGATATGCGCATGTGGCAGTCCACGTTTCTGAAATTCTATCGTATATACAGCTACAAATAAATTATTGATAAACTATTTTAGAGATTGCATGAAATTCATGTTTGAAATTAATATTTGTAATCGATTATTTCTTTGGTAGATATATGCATAGCGGAGAAAGAAAGTGAGTTATAATATTTGACTAGATTATAGCATGGATTATGGCAATTTATAGTCACATGTAAGTAGGGGTGTGCAACGGTCGGTTCAGTTTGGTTTTTACCAAAATTTGAACAACCGAACCGAACCGCCTATAATTCAAAACCGAACCTAACTGTTGCAAGTCGGTTCGGTTCGGTTTGTTCGGTTCTAACTTCATCACCGAACTTAATTGTTGCAAGTCGGTTCGGTTCGGTTCGGTTTGTTCGGTTCTAACTTCATCAAACTTCTTATCAAATAACAAACTGTGTTAAAGAAAAAATATCAACAAAGTAGGAGATTATGAAACATTAAACACTGATATAATGATACTGTTTTTAACCCATGATGATCCAGAAAATAAGTTTAGAGTTTGAGTCTTTGACTTTTTGGGGACAGGTCGGGTAGGGTTTGAGATCAGAATGGGTAGTATTGCACTATATTCGGTCGGTTCGGGTCGGTTCGGGTTGAAAAGTTTTCAAACCGACTCGAACCGCCCTACTCATAAAACCGATGTTCGGGTCGGTTCGGGTTGAAAAGTTTTCAAACCGACTCGAACCGCCCTACTCATAAAACCGATTTTTTCGGGTCGGCTCGGGTCGGTTCGGTCGGTTTTTCGGTTTGGACCGAACCATGCTAGTAAATGAATTGTTCGTATATATCATTGTTGTTGGCAAACTTGACATTTATGTATATAAGTAAGAGTCTTAAATTTAGTAAAAAGCACTGGTACGAACATACATTACATACATGAGTAAAGAATTGTATTGGTTTGATCTGTTTACATCTTGTGAAATTACACTTGTTATCAGTTTCATATAGAGTATGTACACATATCGGTTTATAATTATGATACAAATTTGTAAATAGAATTAGAATGTATATTTAATTGAGTGTTCGTGTAACTATAAATGATCATATATAGTATACATTTAAAAAAGCTATTAACCAACTGTCTAATACAAAGTGTCGTCTTATTTCTATACATGTATCAGTTTATACCACTATACAACAACCTGGTTAAATAGTTGATACATGTATATGAAAATGAATAATAAGTGAGAGTATCAAATTAACAGGAAAAAACTTGTGATATAAACATGCATAAAACAAATGATCAAATGATTGTATCGCAGGGCTATCTGTTTAAAAAATGTGAAGTAACATGTGCTATCACTATCATAATGAATATATACATTTTTCATATGCATGTATTAACTACTCAAGAAAAATTTTATTTAAAAATAATAGTCTTAAATTCACAAAAA